CCACTTAAGGACACAGTGAAACAGTGGGGCGCTGGGGGTGAAAGGCAAGGCAGGGTGGAGGGACAAGAACCCCACATCCTGACATCATGCTTAGAAGAGACACAAAGACCCTGCAGACCTCTACAACGGGGTTCAAAGACGGCCTCCCTACGACAACCATGACCCGGGTCCCCCTGCACAGGCTCCTGTGGCTTCGGTGTGCCAAGAAGCAGTCACTTTCAGAAATCCTGTAACTATCTTACGATGAGCACCCGGATGCCGCGCTGTGCAGGTTGCAGTGTTTATGTAAATATAATATGTACCAGGTATTTTGTGACCCTGTTTGGGACTTCTTCCTTCAGCGCTCTAAGAGCCCTAGTTCGGGCCCACCACCGCCTTCCACGCTGCTCCTCTGAGAGGCGCTGTTGATTGATCAGCTAACCCATCCCCCCCCAACATTTGGGGGGGTGGCGCTGGGAGAACCAGGCTGGGCACGGCATCTGGCATGTGCTCTGACTGGGTGGGTTTGAAGGACTTATTTTCAAAGTCCCCAAGGCCACACAGGTGAGGAACAAGGCTCAGGCCTCTGCAGAGGCTTCAAGACCCCCTTAGTCACCAGGGCCTTCTGGAAGTGGGCAAAGGCCCAGAAGAGTCTGGGCAGATTCCCACACTTGAAGACACACACACACACACACACACACACACACACACACTTCTTTTGGAAGGTGGGGGAGAGACCCATGAAGTGATTTTCTTTTTATATCCTTATTGTTGTGCTGATTACACAAGAAACACATGCTCCTGTAAGTTTCAAACCCTATAAAATTAAGTGATGAAAATGCCTTTTCATTTTTCTCCACACACGCTGCAGAGCCAATCCTGCCCTTTTCTTGCAGTTTTTCCCAGCATACATGCTGCAATAATAATAAAAATAGACTCAGACTATCCTAATATTCTACTTTTTTTTTTTTTAAATCTTAATATATTCTGGACAGCTTTCCCGGTCAGCCAGGAATGCCGCCTCCTTCTCACTGGTTGCATAATATTCCACGGCAGAGATGAGCACTCTTTCTTTTTCTGTGCCCCTAATGCAGCATTTCCCTCCCAATTTACAGTATTCTCAGCCCCCTTGGTTCATGTAACTTGTCCCTCATGGGTAAGTCTATCTCTGTGTGTGAGCGGATCCTCAAGTTCTTTGCCACAGGCATTTTTGCCACGTAGCTAATTGGCCGCCAGGCAATTTTCCCATCCAAGAAAAAACGACTGGCCGATGGTGTGGCTTCAGCGGATGCACATGGTACCAGAAAACGACAGTCCACCAGTCTGCAAACCCTGGGGTGCACACCGCTCCCCTCCCACCCATCAAAGCCTGAAGTTTACCAGGCTACGGCAAATATAAGAAAAGGCTCGTGAGTCCCCAGCCTTCCAGAACACGAGTTCTCTAGCGGTTGCAGACACAGCGGCGCGCGCAAGGCTCCTCCCCGAGGACGCGCACCCGGGTGCAAGTTGGGGGCTAAAGAGCCAAACTCGTCCTACCCCCACCCTTTGCCCTCCCCCCACCCCAAGAATGGTTATGTGAAGCCTGATGAGTCTAAGTTTCTTCAAAATGGTGAACGGTTTTGGCTCTTTGCCAGCGGGGATCGCCGCGGTCCCTTGGGGCGCCGGCTCGGCTCGGGGGACCCGGCCCGCGGGCAGGTGCGGACACGGGTGTTTCCGGGTGAGGAACCGGGTCCGGCCTTAGACCCTGACCCTGCAGGACGCCCCGGCGTCCGGAAGGCACACACACCCCAGCGCCGCCGGGCCGCCCTCCTGTTTACCGCAGACCCTTTTACGGCCGCGCTGCCTTACGGCCCTGGTCATGGCGGCGGCTCTCCCGAAGGCCTCGGCGCGGCCGGCCCCTGGCGCGCCCTCGGGGCCCCCCAGCCTCGCCGCCGCGCTGGCCAGGAGGGGACGGGGCAGCAGAACCGCGGGCGCAGACCCCAAGGCCAGGGTAGGCCCCCCATGCCCCACCCCCCACTCCCGGCAGGGCCCCCACCTGTCCCCCGCCCTCAGGGCCCAGGGTTGGCCCCACCCCGCTGCAGGGCCCCTGGGCAGAAGGTGGGGGGCAGAGGAGCCGGGCCCAAGGGTGCGAGGGGTGCGCCTCTGGCCTAGCTCTGCCCCTGCCAGATCCCCGAGCCCCCCCAAAGGCCTGACCTTGGCTGACAGCTGAGGAAGGGGCTGTGGGCGACGGAGGGGACCGACAGACGGGACAGAGGGGATGGAGAGACGGGGTTCCGGGGCCCCCCATCTTCCCGTTTTGCTGTGTGAGTTTGCGAAAAGAACTTTGCAAAGTTCTTCTGGACTGCCTGGAGGCCCAATTTCTGCATCTATAACTGCTCCTTCCGCCCTCCACGGCGAGGCTACGGTCGGATCCTCTTGAAACAAATCTAGCTCCTGGGGCAGGGGCGCCGGGAGGGGGACTGCCTGCTCTTGAGACCACGGCTGAGCGAGGGGGGGCCCCCCCAATCCCTCTCTCCTGGTCTCTGTTTACTGCGCACCCACGAGGGCGGGGCGGCCTCCCTGGGAGCCTGGGATTAATTGGGCCCCAGCGGCCTGGTGAGCAGCAAAGGCAGGTCCTCCCCAGGCTCGTGGCGGGAGGACTCTCAGTGAGGGGAGGAACCCCAAGTGGAAACAGAAGCTAGAGCTGAAAGAGGGTTCCAGTTAGGGCAGGGAGCGCCTGGGGAAGGGGGTGAAGCACTGGCTCCCAGCGGGGGGTGGGGGGGTGTTAGGGAGGGTCAGGGCGGGAAGGAGGAAGGTCAGAGCCAAGGCACACAGCAAGGTGGCCTACAGCCTGGCTCGGTGGTAGGAATCCTGATTTGGCTGTACCCATAGCTCCCTACATCAGACAGGTAAGGACCTCGATGGCATTTAAATGCCAATTGCCCTCCTTCCCTGTGAGGCTCACACATAGGAGGGGACAGAGAGGACAGAGGATGCCTAGTGGATAAGGAGGCAAGAAGAAGCATCCAGCTCCCTTTTCACAGAGGAGGAGAGGGGAGCCAGAGGTACAGTGAATGGAGGGGGGGCTTGTCTTCAAAGACTCCTGAGTTCTTCCTACTCAGCTTGGTTATGCTGTAGCTAAGCCAAGGGCCCCTTTCTGGAATGAATGAAAGGAATTGCCCATCACTTTGGGGCTGGGGGCTCTTCTATGGACCAACAAGAGGAAACTTGTACCTCTCATCCCAGAAAACCCCTCTCCTAGCACCAGCAGGTGTCCAGGCCCCAGAGTGGGGGGTAAGTGCTGGCGACCTTGCTACATGACCTGGAAGTCCCGCCTGCGTCTGCTTCCTTGTCTGCAGGAGGAGAATCCTCATCTGCCTGGCAGCCTTGCAGTGCGGATGCAAGCAGGTGCACTTGTGTTTTGAAGAGTACAAAGTCTCAGATAAATGGAGGGATCTGTAGGATTAGCAAGAGTGCTATTGGTTGTCCCTGCTAGAACGGGGGGAAGCAGAGCTGCGGAGTCCTCTGTTTACAGCTGACTCATCTGGCAGGAGGCTGGGCACATAACCTTGGCCACTTGGTAACTTTCCTTGAACCATGCTAGTCTCTGGTGCAGATAAACTGGCAGGAGCATCCTTAGGGAGAGTGCGTGTCTGTCATCAGGAATACTAAGAGGCTGCAATCTTCTCAGCCGTTTCACCAAGGGAGTTTCATGGCACCAGCCAGGGGCTGGAAGTACAGCCTCTCCTTGGTCCCATTTTACAGATTTACTGATCTACCCACCTCCCTTAGTAATTCATGGGCAGATCATGGTTCTCACCTGGGTATCACACGCCCGGTCCTCTGCCCACCTCCTACCCCCAGCTTTCTTAGCTGGCTCCAGGGGAACTAAACTTCATGTATTAGCCTCTCCAGGCATTAACCTTTGCCTCTCCAAGCACTCAGGATAGAGGCACTCAGTTTATCCACCTTGAGCCCACCCAGCTGAGGAAGGGAGGAGGAAAGCATCAAATAAGCCACCACTGACCCTCCCTCTGGTTCCCGCCCCTCCTCCTCTCCTCAATCCCAGGATAAACACACTGAGCCCCCATGCTGCCAGTGGCCCGAGATGCCAGGACATTCTGGATGCCCACTCCAGCCAGGCTCCCACAGAAGGAAGTCAATAATACTATTACTTGAAGTGGTGGACAACTCATCATTGGGGATATTAGAAGCCTTTGGTGGGGGCGAGGCGCTCCCTTTATGCCTGAGTGAGACCACCGTGGGCTTGTGGAATCCCAGGGGTAGGGACCACCTGCACAAGTCTTTCAGGTCAGCTCTTGCTTTTTGGACAAATCAATGGCCAGTCCACCTGGAGCAGTGGCTGCTCACTGAGGCATTTGAGACTCTACCTCCCCCCACCCAGAGAGGGAGTCACCAACCACACCCAGGATTATCATCACAGGGGGAAAGTGTGAGGCTGGCACCCCAATCCTACCGCCACCACACCCACTGCCGCTATGGCTGGGACCTGCCTGCCCAGGAGGGATGTAAAATGCGGGGAAGGAGGCCCAGGGTGCTCAGGACGGTGATATCATTGTCCACTCCCTGCTCCGGGCCAGACAGGCTGGGTTTCCCTTCAGGATTCCCCAGGTGGCCCCAGCCCAGAGACAGTGGCCAGGCTAACCTGGTATTCAAGAGAAGGGGAACTTGGGAAAAGAAGTGAGTGGGCTTCTGAGACCTGTGGCTGCAGCAGCCGAAGGCAGGAAGTTATCCCGAAGAGGAAGGCAGGAAGAAAATATGGCAGGGGAAATCGTGGGGAGCCTTGCCTGCCCAGGCCTCCTCTCTGGGGAGCCACCAACTTGCCCAGAATGAGGCTGCAAAGCCAGGGGGCTCTCTGTCATCTATGTCAGGGAAGAAAAGTTACTGACAGTTGTCATCGGAGCGGCCAGACGTCTTCCGAGCTCGAGAACCCGGGCTCAGCGGCTCTGCGGCCGCCGCACCCCCCCTGGAGCACCCTTCCAGCGGCCGCCTAGAGCGATGCCCCCTTCCCTCCAGCGCAGGTCCCCGGGGGAGAACGGGCACAGAAGTTGCGAGCGTTACTGACCGTCTGCGTCAAAGTGCTTCCAGATTTCCAGGAACTGGGACGCCGTCAGCTCGGCCAGATGCAGGTAAGGGGGCTGCTGCTGCTGCGGGCCAGCCATGGCGAACCGCTCGGAGACCTCAGGCGGCGCGGCGCTGTCCCCGCGTGCGGGCTCTGCTGCTCCGGGGCTGGTCCAGGGCGCGCGCGCCACGCTGCCTTTATATACTGTCCGGGCTGCGCCTGCGCCCGGCCGCCAGCAGGCGGCGCGCGCGCCCAGAGAATCCGCCCGAGGCGCGGCGGGGCGGCGGCGGGGCCCAGGGGCTCGGTCAGGGTTCGCTGCGGGGCGCGCACGCCCGAGCTGAGGCCCCTCGCGCGCCCGGTGGGGGCAAGCCCGAGAGTCTTCCGGGCAAAGGGCGTGACAGGCTGTCCTTCCCTTCCTTCTGTCGCCGACGGCCTCGAGTCCAGCCAGCACGCCTTGTTGCCAGCGGCGGGAACAGCCAGGCCACCAGCAGTTGCAAGTTTAGCAAGTGCTGAGCACCCGGACGGCGCGTTTACTGGGTCTCGCCTGCCTTCTCTCGCCTGACTCTGCCGAGCATTCCGTTGGGGGCCCTGGAGACTTGAGATGACTAAATGACTTGCCCAGCAAATGAGGGGGCCCAGCTAGAATGTGAGCCCAGCTCTCTGGCTGGCCCCCCTAATGGGGCCCTGTCTTGGGGAGAAGCCAGGCGTGCTCAAGGCTGTCCTGGGGAGTGGTTGGATTCAGGGGACGCTCACTGGACCATCCGGATAGGCCTGGAGGAGTGGCTTCCACGCTCCCCTGGGGTCTTGGTTGTTGACCACCCTGGACCCCTCCCTCCACCTGGGCAGGCTCTGGGGTTTTTAGACACTTGTCTTGGGGGAGTCAGCGCTAGATCCTCTCCTGCTGGGTCTTAGCCACGCCCACCTTAGGGGCATCTCAGAGATTTGCCTAGTGCGGTGGGCAGAGACCATCCAGCTGTGACCTAGGGTGTTCTGCGCTGGTCTCAGAGAAAATGGAAGCAGCTGCAGGGAGCATGGCCCTACGGAGCCCCAAAGGGACTCCCCGAGCTGGGGACTGGCCCCATCCCCGGTGTCTCGGGTGGCTTGAGTCCTGGGCACTTGCCCGTGACTTTGCACACCTGCTACCCCCAGAGTGGCCTCTCCCTGCTGAGTGACTGAGAAATGAATTGATGCTCATTAACACGTGCTAATGAGTGTTAGCTGAACTGCCTTCCAAGGGGAGCGAGAGGGAAGGAGGTAAGTGAGAATGGAAAGGAGGTCGCTGGGGAGAGAGGCAGGTCGGGTGGGGCGGCAGGGCAGGGAGCTTGTCCCTCAGACCCAGGGAAATGCCCAGCGTGAGCCTGAAAGGGGTGCTACCGAGTGAAGCTTCCAAAATCACTTGTTTTCTTTTTGCACAGAGCAAATATGTTCAGCGTTCCTTGCAGGAACAGAGTAGGAGACAAGGAGACAGCCAGCTTTCAGGCCTGTCGGCAGGGAGTCAGAGAGGCATGGCCTGAGAGATGGTCTCGCTGGTGCTGCCTCTGGGGAGAGCTGCTTGGGTTTGGATCCCAGAATCTGCTGTGTGACCTTGGGCAAATTACCTAACCTATCTGCGCCTCAAATTGTCTCTTCTGCAAGATGGAAATGTGGGTCTTCACCTCTTAGAATTGTTCTGAGGGTTAAATGACTTGGTGGCACTGTGACCCTGCACGGTGCCTGTGACCTGTGGTGGCTGGCTCGGTGAGCAGTTCCTGGGCCAGCATCCCTCCCCTGGGGTAGCTGAGGGCTCCCCTCTGAGGATCCAGCCCCAGAGCCAGGCTCAGTGCAAAGGCTAAACACAAGCCCCTAGCTCTGCCGCACAGAGCTCTGCCACCTCGGCCCGGTCCTGCCCGGATGCTGGCATGTGGGCGCCTCTGCTCCCCTCCTGGCCCCTCCCCTGGCCCAGATCTGAGGGGGGTGGCGGGTAAGAGAGCCCTCTTCCCTGACTCTTTTTTTTTTTTTTTCTTCCCTGACTCTTTAAAGACCGAAGCCAGCACCGCCTGGTGGCTCTGGTCTTCCTGGTGCGGAAGAGAGCAGCTCCTGCCTCCTGCGGTCCTGAGCCAAGGCTGAGATGGGAAGTGTCGGCCAGACTGGGGGAGGCCCTGGGTACGAAGGCTTGGGGCGGGGCTGTCAACTTGTGTGCATTTTAGATGCATGGTCAGAACCTTGTTTGGGAGGCCATTCCCTCACGCTCAGACGCAGAGTGGGCTGCAGAGGCCGAGGAACTTCCCTCTCCCTTGTTCCCCAGGCTGAAGCCTGCAGTGGTGGCACGTGTGGGACTAACCAGTCCCTGCTCAGGGGGCAGACAGGTGGGGGTATGGACCCCATCGATTGGTTAGGAGGCCTTGGAAAAAGCTTTTAAACCTCTTTGAGCCCTCTAAAAATAGAGGGAATAATAATAACAATAATGGGTCTTTCTAAATGGATATAAGGACCAAAGTGGATGTAGTTAAGGAGTTAGCAAGAATTCTGGCAGTGGTGAGTATGCTATTAAAAAGTAGTTATTTATTAATAACATAGGGTGTTAGTTTTTCTGCTTCCGAAATAGTACAAGAGGAGTTCAGTACTCCGCTTTCAAAACCACAACACAGAAGCCAGGTACATTTTATCTGTGGGGCTCACTAGGCCAGCCCCCCACTTCTGACAAGGTCATGGACTGGAAAGGAGAGAGGGCAGGAGTCTTAGGATTTGTGGAATGCAGCATCTGTGGCTCCTCTGAAGCCACGTTTTTGTGGGGGACTCTCTAGGTAACCTCTGCAGGGCATGGGGCTGCCTGCGGGGTGGGGCTGGGGCACTGGGATACCTTTAGATGATGTTCTAGAGGGGTCTGCTGTGCCTTGGTTAGGTCCTCACAGCTAGTCTCTCAGTGCAACGATTGGGGCCATTTTAAAGACAAGGAAACCAAAACACAGAGAGAGCAACATCTAGCCGAGACCTGGTGGGGGTATTGAGAACACCCTGGCTCCTCCATGGAGACCTTGTAGACCACACCAGTGCTAAACCCTAGGACCACATGAACAAAGTTCTTCCCCTATCCTGGCCTCCAGAGCCTCAGGGCGCCCCCCAGTGGCGAGGAGTGATGCCCTGTCAGCTGTTTCCCAGGTCAGCATGAGGCTGGAGTTCAGCTGATCACTGGTTACTCCTGCCCCAGAGAGGGTGTGTTGGATGCCCTGCTCCCTTCTGCATCCCCAGCCCAAAGAGGCCTCCTTAGTGCTGCATCCCGATCTCCAGCATTGCCAAGGACACCTGCCAGGCCTGCCAGCGTTGCTCCCCCAGAAGGGAGACTGAGAGATGGGGAGATGTGGGAGAACAGATGACAAGCAGCTTTCCAGCCAGTATCCACTGGGCCCAGGTAATTAATTGGTAGAGCTGCTTGAAGCACCTGGTGTGTTTTTGGAGAACATCAAAGAAAAAATCAGAAACCCAACTCAGTTCCTCCCTCTGCCTGTAAATATTTCTTCCAGATATTGCTTCTTTGGTCTTTATAATCATCAGGTCTGGCGACTGGGGTAGTGGAGGGCTGGCTTTGCTTCCCAGAAAGAAGGATGAAAGGCATGCAGGCACCCAATAGTTTCCATGGAAACGGATTAGGTGGAGGGAGAATAGAGTCCAGAGGAACCCAGAGGTGGGAGCAGGACTTTTGAGTAAACCTGAGCTGAAGCCTGAGGATCTGGGGACAAATTCTTCCCTCTGGGGAAAGGATTTGGGTCACCAGAATAGCAACAGGAGGTAGAAAAACAATTGCTGGAGGCCACTGAGAGATACCTTTCCCAACAGGCCTGGGCACAGGGGCTAAGAGGGCTCAACTCAGAACCCCCTCTCCCCCCACCCAGGTCCCTTTCAGCTGGGTTCTGCTGTGAATCAGCAGTTTTGCCACATGAAGGCTGTGTGGCCCTGGGAAAGGTGTCCACCCTCTCTGAGCTTTCATTTCCTCGGGATAAATGGAGGATAATCCTAGTAATTTGTGTGGTTTTTGTGAGTGAGAGTGGTAATGCTTGCAAAGGGTGATGGAGGACCTGGCACACAGTAGGCACTCAAATTGTTTTTGTTGGCGAGAAAACTGAAGGCCAGCGAGAGGGAGTCTGAGCTAGTCAGTCTAACCCATCTCCCTGGCCAAAGGGACCGCTTCAGAAGTAGGCAGTGAGAGCTCATGTCCCCGAATGTGAAGCAGCAGCTGCAAGGGCTGCCCTCTCTGCTTGCAGACATTCCGGTATGACTCTGTGAGGTCTGGGATTGCTGCCGCCACCTTGATACCGTGAGTGAAGAGTCCAGAATGGCCTGAGATGCGGAAGGGCAAAGTGGGGGAGCCTGAGGATGAAGCCCTTATTGCAAAGGGACTTTTCAATTATATGAGTCGATAAATACCCACTAGTTCAAGTCCATTTATAGTGGATAATCCAGGAAGAGAACAGTGGTTCCCCTGGGAGCTGGGCTTGGGAAATCTTTAGGAAGCGAGGCTTCCCTCGCCTCTCCGCTGGCGCACAGGGTCACACTTTCACAGATTCGGCCTCCGCCTGCACAACTCCTCCAGTGTCTCCTCTCCCACCAGCAAGTGTCCTCACACCCTTGCCTAGCCGTGCCCTGCAGAGCCACCTGGCCTCACCTTGACCTCAGGAGTCAGAGCTTTCACCTCCCCAGACAGGCTTTGCCTGTCTCTCTATACCTAATTCCCAAAAGAATTAGACGTGACCGGACTAGTTCATCTTCCTATGGCAGGCCGTAGGGTGCTTGCTGTCCAGCTGTGCCTGGCACCCACTCCTTGGTCTGGGCAGCTGTGACTGGGGGCAGGGAGCAAAGTGGTGGTGGACAGAGAGGGAGGGCTGTTTTCCTTCGAGGGCACAGAGGCATTAATTACCGTCTCTCCTGGCGGGGGGGGGGCGGGCTGAATGTGGAAAATGCAGGCAATGTGATATGTTTGTTGTAAATCTGGCCAAAAACCACTCCATCCAATAAGTCCAAATGTAAAATGGAGAGCTGGGGAGGGGGGTGTCCCCTGGCAAAGGGGTTGACAAATATTTTGAAAGGGCAATCCTATACAATTTTTTTTTTTCCACTCTGCAGGCCACAGGGTCACTGTCTCAGTTCCGTTGTAGTGCAATGGCAGCCACAGGCAG